AGGGAGGGAAGAAGGAAGGAAAAAGAGAGAAAGAGAGAGAGAAAAGAAGGAAGGAAGGAAGGAAGGAAGAAAGAAAGAAAGAAAGAAAGAGGAGCTAGGAAACTTCAGGATATGGGTATAGATGGGGATGATACAAGGTGATACTGATGGAAATGTATTGCACACATAAATGGACATGTAAACCACACCACCATTTGGAAAATAACAATAAAAAAAGGTGGGAGAAAAAAGCACACATCAGGCTCTAATTAAATCTATCTGCATTGGTGCAGAACCAAGAGGAAAAACTAGGAAAAGGAACGAAAACACAAATCAGGAAGACCAAACAGATGAACCAAGAAGAATAAGGAGTCAGGAAAAACCAGGAGGGAACGGTTGCCGCTTGGTGGGAGCCCCCCCCGCCCCCTGACCCCCGCCCCCTGACCCCCGCCCCTGACCCCCGCAGGATGTGCCTGTGGCAGGGGTCCTCCTGCTCAGTCGTAAAGGCCGCATTTTGATCAGAGGTGACCCACCGCCCGAGTGGCCTTCTCTTCCCATCTTGCCTTCCCCGACACCCCGTCCTTATGAGCACCCTGAGTCATTCAATTTGCAGAGCACATCAGAAAGGACACATCCGTATAGAAAAGATGCAAACGGAAGAGGAAGTCGTGGCTCTGAGGAGCACAAGTCACACTGACACAGGACGCTCACGGGCTGCGAGGGGAGCGGGAGCTGCCGTTCCCCGGGAAGCAGCGCCTCCACGGGCCTTCCCAGCCGCTGTGTCTGCAGACAGAGCAGGAGGCGCTGGGCCCCCTCGCCGGGCCCAGGGCTTCGCTGGGCTTTTCCACAGCCCCGTGTCGCTGGACCTGCTCCCTGCTCAGTACTGACTGTAGGTAAGAAAACAGTTCTGGGAGCCAGCAGAGTTTGGTATTACCTGGCCAGTGAATGGAGCAGGGAGATCATACCAGAAAGCCACCTCCTCCGGGGTGGGCTGGGGTCTAGGTCTTCCCTAGGACCGGTGGAGGCTTGGAGGACTCGGGGCCTGCCCTTTCTTCCTGGCCGGCTGTGACCGGCCGCCGCCCGAGGGGTGGTGATGCTCTCCTCTGTGTGAAGGGTTTAGAGGGCGCCCGTGTCGTCTGCAGGATCAACGTCCCAGCGGGACCGCAGAGCCCTGGGGCCTTTGCAAGCCATCTGTACGATGCCCGGACAATCGGCTCTGGCGTGGTGACGCTCTGTGTACAAGCAGCTGGCTGGGGCTCTGCCCCACCCGGGCAGGCACCTCGGGTGGGCAAGGAGGCCTCGGGCCAGCCATCCCCGCCCTTGCCTGAACCGGCAGGGCTGGGCAGCAGCAGACCGGAGTGGCGTCCCCTGGTGTCCCGGCTCTTGTGCAGCCCAGTGCTGACGCCCTTAGCCTGCGCAAGGCTGAGGCTCCTGGGCTGGAGGAGGGACTGAGTGCCACAGCTCTTCCTGCGACCACAGACCACAAGCCCTCTGCCTTCTGCCCCGGCCGCTGCTCGCGCTGCCCCGCACGGCCCCTCCTGCGCTGCTGCCACAGCGTGGTGACGCCCTCGGGGCTGCTCCCTCCAGGCCCTGCATCACACAGGCGGCCTCACGCTGACTCCCCCCCCCCCCCCCCGCCCTGGGCCGCATCTGTCACGACCTCTTCTGTTTTCTTTGCTACCAGCTGGGCCACCCTACTAACCAAAAGTAGGCAAGAAAGAACACTCGGGAGAAGATTCTGGGGGCCGAGGGTCGCCACGCCTGAGGGCATCGGAGGTGTCCTGCCTGGCTCCCAGAGTGACCGACACCGCCAGACCGGTGTGTGTGCCCGCGCGGCCGTCAGTGCACCAGTCCTAGCAGTCTCCACGCAAACACAGGGTTAAGCCCAGGACTGGTGGCTTTGCTACTCGGGAAGCTGACAATGGAAGGATCATGATCCGAGGACCATCTGGGCAGAGAAGTTCACAAGAGTTCCCTCCTCAACCCAAGGCTGCCATCCCGCTACCCGGGGGGGCTGAGATGAGGAGGATTGTGATGCCAGGCCAGCTTGAGCTGAAGTGCGTCTCCACGGAGGGAAGCTGGGTGCAGTGGCACACGCCTGTGATCCCGGTACCTCCAGGAGGCTCAGCCGCTCAGCCATGAGCCTGAGTGGGAGGCAAGACCCTACTCTAAAACTAACCAGTGAAAAACAGGACTAGAGGTGTGGCAGGAAGGGTAGAGAGCTGGCCTGGAGAGTGTGAGGCCATGAGTTCAACGCCCAGGACTACACACACACACGCACACACACATACATACACACACAAACACACACACATACAAACACACACATGCAAACACACAAACACATACATACACACACAGACATGCAAACACACACAAATGCACATGCACACATACACACACATGCAAACACACACACACACAAACACACACAAACACACACGCAAACACGCAAGAAGGACTGGTTTACTCCTCTGCATGGCCCTGGGAGACACCCTCTCGCCTGGATGGCAATGTCCGCACAGGCATCTGGAGCTCACTAACGCTGGGGTGGCCCGTCCAGGGCAGCCCTGCTGGGGCAGTGTCCTCGGAGCCAGCCCTGGGCTGCACCTGCTTCCACAAGAGGAAGGCTCAAGGCGCGGAGCCAGCATTGGGGGCTGGCGGACGGCCTGGCAACGCCAGTCCTTCACCAGTGGCAGCCTGGCCGGGAAGGGTCTCAGTGCTCCAAGGGGCCCAGATCACCCACCCCTACATCCCGGCTGTGTAAAGAAAAAGCGAACACTGAGGGATGCTTCTCATGACGTTCACTTAGCTGTGATTCAATAGGGCTCTAGCAACGCTCAACTCCTGCCCCTGGGCATCGGAAGCACTGATCTGAGATTCTGCTGTGTCCTGTCCCTGCTCAGAAGAGAGCTGTGTGTCCCAGGTGCTCGGGACTGTCGGCTTGAGCCAGGCAGGCTCTACTCCAACCACACAGGGGACCGTCAATTCTTCCCTCAGGAACATGTGCACAGTAGACTCCTCTGGGGAACTTGCCCATGTGTGAACTTTAAAATATAAAATGTATCTCCACGTTGCATTGCCTACTTTGAATTTTAAATGTCACCTCTAAAAATGCAGAGAGACACTGCTGATCACTGATTTGGAGACAAAAAGTAGGAACCCAGACCCTCATTCTTGATCTCATTGTCATCTGTCCCCAGTGGGGACGCCCTCAGGCCCAGGATCCAGGTCCACAGAGGAGCTAGGGGAGGGCAGTCAGAGGCCTCTCCCGAGGCCCGGCTTCCATGTGCGACCTCAAAACCGGGTGGGCAGCCTGGCCCTGAGCCCAGCCAGCTTGGTGCCAGCTGCGCGTTCTACATCGGTGCATCTATCGAGGGGATCAATAGAGTCAATGGATCGCTGGCTATCTGGAGGTCACCAAGGAGCACGCTTTCCGTGACTTCCCGAGTTGTTTCTGTGGAAGCGTGCTGAGCCATGACTCGTGCTCGGGGTCACTGACGCCCAACACCAGCAGCTAGGAGGCCCTGGGAGCCCCCCGAAAGCTGGTGTATCACGGAGCCCCATCTCCCCACCAACACTCAGGGCAAACGTCAGGCACACTGAGGAGCTGAGTCCAGACAGAGCGGGGGCCTCAGTGTCCAGGAGGGCCAGTGACAGACCCAGCCTGAGGAGACACGCCGTCCTGCTGAGCCCTGCAGAGGGCTCCAGGCACCAGGGCCACCTTGTAGGCATTTCCAGACTCTGGGGCGGGTATGCAGGTCGGCTGAGATAACAGAGGGCTTCCTCTGTGGGCTGGGGCGATAGGAGGTCCTGACCAGCGAGCACGCTGAGGCCTTGGGCAGGGTGGCCACGTTCTGGTCAGGTGGAGGGAGCCTCATCCCCCGCAGCCTAGACGGCTCTCCAGCGGCCACCTCTCCCTGCCCACAGCCTAGACGGCTCTCCAGCGGCCACCTCTCCCTGCCCACAGCCTAGACGGCTCTCCAGCGGCCACCTCTCCCTGCCCACACCCTAGATGGCTCTCCAGCAGCCACCTCTCCCTGCCCACAGCCTAGCGGCTCTCCAGCGGCCACCTCTCCCTGCCCACAGCCTGGACGGCTCTCCAGCGTCCACCTCTCCCTCCCCGGCAGCCTAGACGGCTCTCCAGCGGCCACCTCTCCCTACACTCTGGGCGGTTTTGTCTGGAGATCTGGAAGAATGGGGCACTATGCAGCGTCACTAGGGCTGTTCGCATTCTGCTGTATCCAAGTCTACCCTTCCCAGTCCATCAGCCACCCATAGTCTGGATAGCTGAGGGACAGGTGTCAGGACACAGCACGGACCACCCCAGCTGCCCACCAATGCAAGCCAGGGTCTCCCTCGACCACAGGGGCCAACACACGGCCTTCTAGCTGAAACCAAACTCAGAGGCCCAGGGAGGACAAATCCAGCTCCAGTCTGGACACTGACAAGGACAGGCCCCTGGTGACATCCACATGGGCAGCGTGCTCTCTGACTTCTGGCCGCGGCCATGGTGCAGAGCGGAGATGTGATGCAGACGTGAGGGGCCCCGGGCCACGCCAGGGCATGTGGCCACTCCAGTGGCCACTCCTCCATCACACCACAGCCCAGGAGCTGCAGAACCCGAGGCTGAGCTCCCTGAGACACTGAACATCAGAATGTCAGTGGGCAAGAGGCACAGGAAGGCGGTGCACTCGCTGCCTCGCTGCCTCTTGTAACGCAGGCCCTGCAGGACACAGTGTGCCACCCAGGCCGCCCACGTCCTGCCTCTGCCAGCAGCATGGGCGCAGGGGTGAGGAAGCTCTCGGTCACCGCAGCCCCCACGAGACCGCTGGCAGCCTGGGGCTGGGCTGCGGCCTTCATACACACACCCCGCCCCGCTGGACCACTAGGTAGAGTTCTCATCCACTAGCCGTTCAAGTGAGGAAACCGCTTGAACCACCCCAGAAGTCCTGGCCGTGTGTCTAGACTCCTGGCCACACCAACCACATGGGTCTCCTCTGATTCCCTTCCAGGATTTGAAGACTGTCCTCTCCCTGCCCCAGTACCCAGGGGAGTTCCTGCACCCTGTGGTGTACGCCTGCACCGCTGTCATGCTGCTATGCCTGCTCACCTCTGTCATCACCTACATTGTGCACCAGAGGTAAGGCTGGTGGGCCCAGGCCTCACTCCCAGGACCAGGCCAGGCCTCACTGTCAGGACCAGACCAGGCCTCACTCCCAGGACCAGGCCAGGCCTCACTCCCAGGACCAGACCAGGCCTCACTCCCAGGACCAGGCCAGGCCTCACTCCCAGGACCAGGCCAGGCCTCACTGTCAGGACCAGACCAGGCCTCACTCCTAGGACCAGGCCAGGCCTCACTGTCAGGACCAGACCAGGCCTCACTCCCAGGACCAGGCCAGGCCTCACTCCTAGGACCAGGCCAGGCCTCACTCCCAGGACCAAACCAGGCTTCACTCCCAGGACCAGGCCAGGCCTCACTCCCAGGACAAGGCCAGGCCTCACTGTCAGGTCCAGACCAGGCCTCACTGTTAGGACCAGGCCAAGCCTCACTCCCAGGACCAAACCAGGCCTCACTCCCAGGACCAGGCCAGGCCTCACTGCCAGGACCAGGCCAGGCCTCACTCCCAGGACCAGGCCAGGCCTCACTGTCAGGAACAGACCAGGCCTCACTGTCAGGACCAGGCCAGGCCTCACTGTCAGGACCAAACCAGGCCTCACTGTCAGGACCAGGCCAGGCCTCACTCCCAGGACCAGGCCAGGCCTCACTGTCAGGACCAGGCCAGGCCTCACTGTCAGGACCAGGCCAGGCCTCACTCCCAGGATGAGGTCTCCCACTTCAGATAGCACAGAGTTACTCGAGGAAAAGCCACATGCCACCAAGCACTCAGTTTTGCCCCCAGACTCAGGACCTCCCACAGAAGCAGCCGTAGGCACATCCTCCACTCACGGTCCCTGTTGGTCTGTCTTTAAGAGCAACTGGGTGAAATACAGAAACATGTTGGCACGGGTGTCCAAAAGGTCATGTCCTGAAGACCCCTAATACTGCCTTTGCATGTGCCTTTTATTCAGGAAGGGAGTCTAGGCCTTTTATTCAGGAAGGGAGTCCAGGCCTTTTATTCAGGAAGGGAGTCCAGGCCTTTTATTCAGGAAGGGAGTCCAGGCCTTTTATGCTTCTGAGGGTGTGCTTGGCCACCTCTGCCTGAGAACTGTGATGACCGCTGTGTGTCCATCTGCCTGAGTCTTGGAAATGCACTGGAGAGCATGAACAGGGCCCTGGCGGTGGCCATTCCACACCCAAAATCAAGAAATCAAAGGCAACGCTTCGGTCTCAGCCACACCCACAGGCACGAAGATTCTCAGATGAGACTTGAGTTCACAGGGTCCTGACCAGGGCCACCACTTGGGTGAACCTGTGGTCTGGATCTGTTCAGGCCACTGAAACAAATTACTAGAGCAAGTGTAGCTGATAGCACAGTTTCGAGTATGCCTTGGTTTATCACTGTTCTAGAAGCTGCAAGTCCAGATCCAAGGCACTGGCAGGGTTGGTCTCTGGTGAGGCCTTGGTCTGCTCCTGTCTGGTAGCCTCCACGGGAAGTTCTGAGGGCTGGAGCCCCACTCCCAGAGGCTCTGCCCCTCCAACACTTGCGTGGTGATCAGGTTTCCGCAGGGGAGTTGGGTGGTGTGAGGACGGAGACCACAGCTGGCCCGCGAGGTGGGGAGTGGCACCGTCTTGGAGGCCTGATGGAGTCAGCGTCCCAGGCTAAGCAATACCAGTGCCAGCTACAGCCGCGTGGGCAGGGGCCATGCCCAGGCCAGGCCACCGGTACAGCTATCGCTAACAGCTGCTCAGAGAGGCCAGCGTCTGCCTGGGAGCCAGGAGGTGATTCTGTCTCTGAGGCAGTGGACAAGTCATAGCTCAGGCCTCAAACCCTCCATTGCCAAGCAGTCAGGAGGCTGGCTTGGAGCTGCTCTGCGAGGCACCCCACCTGAGTGATCCTGCCCCCGAAGCGCCCAGCACTGCAGTCTTCTCCACCGTCTCCTCCACGGGGCGTGGCACCCTGGGGGGCAGAGCGGGACCTTTCCCTGCTCTCTGGTGCTCACCCGGCTCTCATCTCCACTCCCCACAGCGCCATCCGCATCAGCCAGAAAGGCCGGCATGCGCTGCTGAATTTCTGCTTCCACACGGCCCTGACCTTTGCGGTGTTCGCCGGTGGCATCAACCGCACCAAATACCCCATCCTGTGCCAGGCGGTGAGTACTGTAACAAAACCAGAGGTGTTTGTCGGCCTCTTACCAAAGGGGAGATGTGTGGATTCTCATGAAAGAATATCCCACTGTTTGCTCGACTGCTGCTCCTGAGAGGAGCGGCGCCCGCTCCGGCCTCATCCCCTCAGAAGCCATCTGCACTGCCCAACATCAGATCATTGCCATGGGCCAGCTAGCTCTGAGGCTGCAGGGGCCGGATCAAGATGGTCACTGTCCAGCAAACAGTGGACTCAGGACATAACGCTTCTCTCAAAGCGTCCTTGAGACCCTCCAGGAGCCGACCCATGCTGCAATCTGCAGGGCTGCTGCGTGTGCGGCCTCCGAGCTGCCAGGCCTGGGTCGCAGAGCCCACCTGCCAGCTCTGCGAATTCGCGAGAGCCTGCCCCAGTTGACATGACTGTCATTGCATGTGTGCCCTGGTCTTGCTTTGATTTAAAAAGTGTTGATAGGGCTGGGAAGGTGGCTCAGTGGTAGAGCGCTTGCCTCGCATGCATGAGGCCCTGGGTTCCATTCCTCAGTACCACATAAGCAGAAAAAGCCAGAAGTGGCGCTGTGGCTCCAGTGGTAGAGTGCTAGCCTTGAGCAAAAGCAGCTCGGGGACAACGCCCAGGCCCTGAGTTCAAGCCCCAGCACTGGCAAAAAAAAAAAAAAAAGGGTGTTGGTATGCGTAACCTCCAGGCCTTCCGGGGACCCCAGAGAAGACCTTTTCCCTGACCCCTTGGAATGGCTCTGGCCAGGAGGGGGCGCCCATGGCAGCCCGCAGCCCCTGCACACCAGTCCTCAGGCCGCTCCTGAGGACCCAGGCTCCACTGATGGCCCTAGAAGCAGGAACAGCATGCCCCACGGAGGCCAAGGCCACCTGGCAGGCCGACCTAGCCCACACAGGAGCAGTCTTGAGGTCAGGTGTCCCTGGGGAGCACATGTCCTCCTTCTCCCGGCTCCGAGGCCGGCCTGACTCGGACCGTGTGGCTGCGCTTTTGTTCCCAACACTAAGATGAGTTGAGCCTAGTTGTACTTTGTGAGCAAGATATTCACACCCGGGAGACAGAACCCCTGCTCTGGAGCTCTGTGCACCAGGAGATGTCTCAGACACCCCCATGACCAAACGATGCATCCCACCCCAGGAAGCCAGGCCCACCGCCTCGGCTGGCAGCACAGGCCTGAATGAGCGGAGACACAGGGGAGACGGCTCCTGCTTCCCCGTCTCTCCACAAGCTGAGCAGCTACAACCCAGCACAGGCCAGGAAATCCCTTCTCCCTGGCTGTGATCGTCCGCCCGGAGCCGCCGGAAAAGCTATCAAATGGGTCATTATCCTTATGTCTGTACTTCACCCCACCGGCTCCGTGAGGGGGGCCTACCCACCACAGAACCCACTAGAACCGCTTCCCGGTGCCTGTTGGAGGCCATCTCCAGCCCTGGGAGGGTACGTCTGGAGCACCGCCGGCCGCTCAAGGCCAGCCCAGCCCAGGGGCTTGGGAGGCAGGGCAGAGCAGGTCTAGAAGGACTCCAAGGCTGAGAGCATGCTTGGTGAGAAATGCTTCCCTGCTGACAACCCCAAGGAGCCTGGATGGCAGGAAGACCGGGTGAGGCAACAAGGAAGATGGTGGCCACCAGGCGTCTCTGGCCCCTGCTTGCTTTTTCAGGAGAGGCAGCTGCCCCCATCCCTCACAAACACACCCTGCCAGGCCCAGGCTGGACCAGCCAGAGACCTACCCTGCGCATGCACCAGGGCAGTGCCACCGCAGGCAAACGCAGCAGGATGCGGCAGACAGGTGCAGGAGATGCTGGACTCCTGGGGCAAGGGGTGGAAATGGAAGCCGCGGCTCTGCAGGTGACACGCCCCTCGCACATAACTGCTTCCCGCGGCAGCTGCCCTGTCCCCGCGCTGCTCTGCGCCCAGCTGCTTCCTGCCTGCGGCCACCAACACACATGCCTGGCACCGCAGAGGCCTCCCCCAGCCAGGCCCAGGCTGGCTTTGGTCAGCAGCCCAGCGGGTCTGAGGGAAGGGGCTCAGCTCAGCCAGCCAGCCATTCAGTGCCTTATCTGCTGGAAGGGAGGCGCATGGGGCAGAGCAGGTTAAACACTCGGCCATTGGGACCCCGGTGTGCCCCACCCTGACCTGCCACCCAGGACGCCTTCCCGGGGACTCAGGACAGGACGCCCTGTCCTCTCCTCAAATGCAAGCTCGGCATCACCACCACACAACCAGGAGAAGTGGTCCAGAGAGCTGGATGGATGGAGAGACAGTTGTCATGGAAACAGGAAGAGGGCCATGAGCCTCATTATAGTACCAGTGACATCATAAACAGAAGCAGGCAGCCGCCGTTAGTTCCCTTCCTGGATGTGCCTCAACGCCAGCCTGGAAGCAGGGACTGCATCCTGCCCTGCCTCCGTCCCCTGGCAGCGGGCCACAGAAGCCAGGTGGCCTCTGGGGCCTCCCAATGTGTCCAGCCTAGAGCTGGCGTTTGAGAGACAGCCTTCCTGAGGATGGCTTGAGTATACCTTCTGGGATCCCCAAACCCATGGCCTGGGTGAGGCTCACCAGACCCCTGTGCACGCCCTCCGGGTCAGAGCCCTGCGGAGAGTCTGCTGGGTGAGGCTGGCCAGACCCCCGTGCACGCCCTCCGGGTCAGAGCCCTGCGGAGAGTCTGCTGGGTGAGGCTGGCCAGACCCCCGTGCACGCCCTCCGGGTCAGAGCCCTGCGGAGAGTCTGCGTTGTTTGTGCGTTGGTGTGGGCCTTGCTGCGGACCGTGCCCCCGGCCAGGGCCAGGCCGCCCTTTCCCCGTCGTCCAGGCTGCGAAATTCTCTCCGGGAGGTTCCAGCCCCTTACACTCACAGGCAGGGAAGGCCTGCACGCTGGAGATGTCCACCCAGCGCCCTTTACACCCAAGAGCAGTGAGAAGGGACCGCTGGGTGTCTGCTGTCCCCGCGACGCCACACTACCATGAGCAGCTCCCAACTTTCCACCTCCCTCAAAACCCTCATCAACGATTAGAGTTTGCTCATAAGCAAAACTTGAATTCTGGATTTGATAACTCATTATAATGATATAATGTTCGCGTTATTCAAGGGATTTCTGTATTCTTGAAACATCTATGTCTTCTCCAATTATAGCCATATTTTACTTGTCATTTCCAAATGTCAGCCTATTACCTCAAAGGTAGCCCCATGTTAGGGAATCAGATGGAGATGAAGTTCAGCATGCACAGCGAGTTGGCGTGTGCGTCCTGCGGCTGGGCCGCAGCCCCAGCTGCTGTCTCCATAGCTAGGAGTCCCTGACACTCCCGGGCAGGGTCTGAACCTCACCCAGGCCAAGGCCACCGTGACAGCTCTGGGGGTTGGGGCACCGCTGCACCTCCTTCCACCTGGGCCCTGTGCGGGGATGCTCACTGGGGGCTCTGCCCCTCCCTTCGGAGGAGCCACCCCTCACAGGGCCCCCCTTGCCCTCTGCCAGTCCCTGGAGAAGTGTAGAGAAGCTGCAAGGCTCGGCCCCCGGCAGCTGAGGAAGGCTGTGCGGTGCAGGACGGTCGGCTTTGGGGGAGGGGACAATGGGGGGGGCAGCAGCCTGGGAGGGGAAGCCGGCTAGCTGACATGTCCCCTCCCAGGTGGGCATCGCGCTGCACTATTCCACACTGTCCACCATGCTGTGGATTGGAGTGACCGCCAGGAACATCTACAAGCAAGTGACCAGGAAGGCCCCTCCGTGCCCTGGTGCAGACCAGCCGCCGTACCCCAAACAGCCCCTGCTCAGGTATTCGAGCGTGCGCGCGGGCCCTGCCGCCACCCAGGGGGGACCCCTGGGGACCCCTGACCGGGGACGAGCCTCCGCAGGGCTTAACAAGGCAAACAGACTCCCTCCCCAGGAGCTCAGCCCAAGGGTGGCCCTCCACACACACACACACACACTGGGGGAGGGGCGGGGGCCGCATGCGGGAGTGGGCGAGGCCCTGGGTCAGGGTTGGGACCAGTAGACCTGGGGTGGGTGATGCTGGCGTGGGGGCAGCATCCCAGGGGGCACCCGGGGCAGCGTGCAGAGATGGGTGGCGAGATGGCCGGGACGGGATCCTCCCTCAGCATCTGGCGGGACGCTGGCTGGCCCTGTGCACAGGGGGCTCCCTGGCAGGGGGCCCTCCGTGTCCCCTGAGGGCCAGGCCTGGAGGCCGCGTGGCTGTGGCTCTGGCGTACATCCTGGTCTTAGTGAAGCCAGGACACCCACCGCCTCTTAGGGTAACCTCAGCTCTGGTGGTGATCGTGGCCTGGCCCTGGAGCCAGCGGACCGGGTCCCAGCTGAGGGCCTGCCTTCTCAGGGCACGGGGCCGTGTGGGGAGCCCAGGTGTGCCGGGACCACGGGAACAACACCGAGGAGGGTGGGACCTCCCTCCCCAGGGCAGCCCAGGGTCACTTCCCCGACCTCCGTAGGGCCGCCATGCCAGAACACCGGACGTCGCTTCGGACAAGACAGACACCGGCCACCGGGGCCAAGGGTGCCTCACCATTTGCACACTTGAACCAAAACCCTGGGCAGTGAGTCTGGTCCATGTGAGGCTGGGCACGTGGGCACTGACCTGGGCAGTGAGTCTGGTCCGTGTGAGGCTGGGCACGTGGGCACTGACCTGGGCAGTGAGTCTGGTCTGTGTGAGGCTGGGCACAGGCACTGACCTGGGCAGTGAGTCTGGTCCGAGTGAGGCTGGGCACGTGGGCACTGACCTGGGCACGTGGGCACTGACCTGGGCAGTGAGTCTGGTCTGTGTGAGGCTGGGCACGTGGGCACTGACCTGGGCAGTGAGTCTGGTCCATGTGAAGCTGGGCACAGGCACTGACCTGGGCACGTGGGCACTGACCTGGGCAGTGAGTCTGGTCCGAGTGAGGCTGGGCACGTGGGCACTGACCTGGGCAGTGAGTCTGGCCCGTGTGAGGCTGGGCACGTGGGCACTGACCTGGGCAGTGAGTCTGGCCCGAGTGAGGCTGGGCACGTGGGCACTGACCTGGGCAGTGAGTCTGGTCCGTGTGAGGCTGGACACAGGCGCTGACCTGGGCAGTGAGTCTGGTCCGAGTGAGGCTGGGCACATGGGCACTGACCTGGGCACGTGGGCACTGACCTGGGCAGTGAGTCTGGTCCATGTGAAGCTGGGCATAGGCACTGACCTGGGCACGTGGGCACTGACCTGGGCAGTGAGTCTGGTCCGTGTGAGGCTGGGCACGTGGGCACTGACCTGGGCATGTGGGCACTGACCTGGGCAGTGAGTCTGGTCTGAGTGAGGCTGGGCACGTGGGCACTGACCTGGGCATGTGGGCACTGACCTGGGCAGTGAGTCTGGTCCATGTGAAGCTGGGCATAGGCACTGACCTGGGCACATGGGCACTGACCTGGGCAGTGAGTCTGGTCCGTGTGAGGCTGGGCATGTGGGCACTGACCTGGGCACGTGGGCACTGACCTGGGCACGTGGGCACTGACCTGGGCAGTGAGTCTTGTCTGAGTGAGGCTGGGCACGTGGGCACTGACCTGGGCACGTGGGCACTGACCTGGGCAGTGAGTCTGGTCCATGTGAAGCTGGGCATAGGCACTGACCTGGGCACATGGGCACTGACCTGGGCAGTGAGTCTGGTCCGAGTGAGGCTGGGCACGTGGGCACTGACCTGGGCAGTGAGTCTGGTCCGAGTGAGGCTGGGCATGTGGGCACTGACCTGGGCACGTGGGCACTGACCTGGGCACGTGGGCACTGACCTGGGCAGTGAGTCTGGTCCATGTGAAGCTGGGCACAGGCACTGACCTGGGCACGTGGGCACTGACCTGGGCACGTGGGCACTGACTTGGGCAGTGAGTCTGGTCTGAGTGAGGCTGGGCACGTGGGCACTGACCTGGGCAGTGAGTCTGGTCCGAGTGAGGCTGGGCACGTGGGCACTGACCTGGGCAGTGAGTCTGGTCCGAGTGAGGCTGGGCACGTGGGCACTGACCTGGGCACGTGGGCACTGACCTGGGCACGTGGGCACTGACCTGGGCAGTGAGTCTGGTCCGTGTGAGGCTGGGCACAGGCACTGACCTGGGCAGTGAGTCTGGTCCATGTGAGGCTGGGCACGTGGGCACCAATTCAGAAGCAGAGCTTACGTCCCAGGAAGCCATCAAGGCCCACGTCCCCAAATTGAGGAAGCAGGTCAGGTGCCACTCAGGGCCCTGGGCAGAAGGCCGCAGGCCCAGGCCTCGCTCTGGCCTCTGGGGGCCACGCCAGCCTGCAGGCTGTCCGCAGGCCAGCCGCGGGCACGGGCCGCCATACCTTCCACTGCGGCTGCCCCAGCAATGTCTTGTGGTTTGAAGCACACAAACCTTGGGCCTCCTTGGTCTCAAGTTTTCCCTTTTACTATAAATAGGATTGCTGTCTTGCCATTGAATTCTAATCATTCATGGCTGGTGTACTGAAACACAGCTGATTCTTCAGCATCAATCACAGATCCTGCAGCTCTGCTGAGTTCCTTTACTAGGCCCAAGAGTTTTCCTACTTCAAAGACTTCTGTGTATACGGTGATGTGTCATCTACGCCTACAGGGAGATGACGGCTCCAACACCAGCCTTCCTGCCCAACCACTGGCAGGCACTTCAATATCAGTATTAGTCCTCTCTCCTCTTTCCAGTCTGCCGGTGCCGTTGACCTACCTAAAGAACAAACTTTGGATTATCTAGTTTCTTTGTCTTTCTGTTCTCTATTTTATTGTCTCTGCTGTGGTTTTTTAGGGTTGATTGCCTTTCTTCTGCTCACTTGGGGTTTAGTTTGTATTTCCTTTTCTCCGTTCCTTACAGTCTGAAACTAGATTGTTGACCTGAGATCTCTCTTCTTTAGTGAAGATGTTCTCTGCTTGGAGTTTCGCTCAGAGCTGCGTTGCTGTGTCCTGTGCAGCTTGCTACTCTTCTACTCAATCACAGTAGTTTCTAGTTTCCCTTGGGTTTCTTCCTGGCCTTTGGCATTTGTTTTTCAATTTTAATTTTTTTATTGTTATTCTAATGGTGGGGTACAGAGGGGTTACAGTTTCCAGCCAGATAAGGAGTGCATTTCTGTTTGGACAAGGCCAGGCCTCCCCTTGCTCCTTCCCAATTTTTCCCTCCCATCCCCAGGCCTTTCGTATTCAAGTGTACACAGTGTGATTCCCACAGGCCAGAGGGTATCTATGAGAAGAAAACACGCCTCTACAAGTATGCTGGGGCTTTTAGCCATGATCAAAACGGAGCAGCCCTCGGCTCGTTCGTAGGGCCATCATGGCGGCCTCTGGCCTGTCCCTGAGCGGCTCATGGCTTCTTCTTCATTCCCCATGCTTGTAGAGGGTGGTGATACGAAATCCTGCCCTTTGAGGAGCGAAGCCCGGAGCTGGCTGAGTCCCTCTAGCCAGCGGGACTGCGTGTCCAGCATGACGTGAGCAGGCTGTGTGTCCAGCACAACGTGAGTGAGGCTGTGTGTCCAGCACAACGTGAGCAGGGCTGTGTGTCCAGCATGATGTGAGCAGGGCTGTGTGTCCAGCACGTGAGCAGGCTGTGTGTCCAGCACAATGTGAGCAGGGCTGTGTGTCCAGCATGATGTGAGCGGGGCTGTGTGTCCAGCACGTGAGCAGGCTGTGTGTCCAGCACAACGTGAGCAGGGCTGTGTGTCCAGCACAACGTGAGCCCTCTGCAGGTCAGACTGCCTCTGGACCCGTGCGAAGCCCCAGAGGAACAGTGCCGCCCTCACCCTGCGGGAGGGATCTGGGAAGGGGCCACCCAGGCCTCCCCTGGGAGGGGTGATGTCAGAGGACATTGTCCCCTGGAGAGAGATGACCTGCAGGATGGACAAGGTCAGAGGAGGACATTCGGGCTCTCCCAGGAGGAGAGGGCATGACCCTGAGTAGAATGGGACACAGAGGACAAGAGGCAGGCGGGAGGCAGCCGGGGATGGCATCAGTGGGCATGGGCACACCATCTGTCCTACACTAGGGGCAGGGCCCCAAGCTCCAAATCCCTGACCAGGTCATCCCTGAGTCCCCACTGCCCCACCAGCACCTGGCGCCTCACACCAGCCCCTGACTGCTCACTACTCACACCAGCACCTGACGCCTCACACCAGCCCGACTGCTCACTACTCACACCAGCCCCTGACTGCTCACTACTCACACCAGCACCTGACTGCTCACTACTCACACCAGCACCTGACGCCTCACACTAGCCCCTGACTGCTCACTACTCACACCAGCACCTGACTCCTCACACCAGAACCTGACTCTTCGCTACTCACACCAGGACCTGACGTCTCACTCCTCACACCAGAACCTGACTCCTCACTACTCACACCTGGACCTGACTCCTCACTCCTCACACCAGCATCTGACTCCTCACTATTCACACCAGCACCTGACTCCTCACTATTCACACCAGCACCTGACTCCTCACTATTCACACCAGAACCTGACTCCTCACTATTCACACCAGCACCTGACTCCTCACTATTCACACCAGAACCTGACTCCTCACTACTCACACCAGAACCTGACTCCTCACTATTCACACCAGAACCTGACTCCTCACTACTCACACCAGAACCTGACTCCTCACTACTCACACCAGAACCTGACTCCTCACTATTCACACCAGAACCTGACTCCTCACTCCTCACACCAGAACCTGACACCTCACTATTCACACCAGAACCTGACTCCTCACTCCTCACACCAGAACCTGACTCCTCACTACTCACACCAGAACCCTGACTCCTCACTCCTCACACCAGCACCTGA